TTTTCAAATATTTTTAGTATTTGTTTTTAAATATGTATAGAAATCTGAAAAATGTATTACGGCCAATTATTATGACCTTGGTTAAATATAAAATATAAAATTATTACATGAAATAAATTTTTTATGACTTCTATTTTTGAGTACTTATTGTATTTAATGTGATAAATATTCCACCCCCTCCCCCTGGAATTGGTCAAGGACCGCCACTGTATTATTATTATTTTAAAAGTCATTGGAATATTAGGAATAGATTGTAGCAGAAAGCAATTGATCAAACAATTTGTACGTAGATATAGGTAGGTATTTATTTTTAAATATGTAATATAAATTATACCAATATAAACATAAATTACTTTATAATATAATTATATAAATATTGAATAAAGTGTTTAAAAAGTAAAATATTTATTTAAATACCTATAAAAACTGTCCCTATACTGGCCTACTAATCACTACATAGTACTTAACTACTAAAAACCTGTACCTATATATTGGATAAATTGTGGCGCATTCAAAAGGAGGGGCTTAAGCCCATTAGTATAGACTATAGGTACTATAATAGAATTAATATACCACAGATACATATTAATACATCTATGTAGGTATTTCAAGTGTATGCTGTTCCATTCATGAATACAAAAAATAATTATGACAATAAAAATAGTATTTTCTAAAGATTATTCCATAATGAATAAATTATGTAAAAAATATATTTTCAAAAACCTTAATACTTATATTTTAGGTATAGGTACTTATAAAGTAGATGCTATAAGACTATATACCAGGGGTGGGCAACATGAATATGTTCGAGGACCACTTAGGTATATACTCGTAAATGCAATGATGGTATCAAGAGCCAAAATATTTGTAAACACATTTAATAATTCTATTTCATAAATGTATGTCTACTTAATATTTTTGTCTATTAATCTGTATTCTATAAATGTATACGAAAAAAAAATCTTAATTTTTGTTAATAAGACGCGAGCCGCATACGACTATGACGAGAGACAAATGTGGCTCGTGAGCCACAAATTAGTCACCTCTGCTATATACTTATTAGTTATTATACTTATAAGTTATAAGATATAAGTTTATAACATAGTTCGAGCCGTTCGAGGAAAAACGGCAGTATGGCCTATGAACTATTCTTATATGTATATAAATTAATATATTGATATACCTACCTACAGCTTATAAAATATATATCAACAGTAAACATAATTTGTATTTACACAATATTTTCAGATTATAAAATAATATAATATATAATACCTATAATGTTTGCTGTTTGCAACAATATAATTATAAATATATTTAGGTAGTTGTCTCTAAATGGCTGTATTATTATGTTTAATATAACATTTCAAATTTGAAACCTCCCTAAATATTTGACCTAACCATTTCTATCACTCCGTTGTGTTGGTCCATACACAGGTAACTTCGTGAAGATATGAAAGTCGTATTCATACATGCTTAATATCAATGCTATTATTTATATTATTTTCATTTAATCAGTGTTTGGAACGTTCACTAAAAAAATGAATTCATTCATGTTTAGACTTTAAAAAAGAAATTCGTTCGCGTTCTTTAAAATAATGAATGCGTTTCATTGGTTGTTCATTTATTTTTTTAAAATCTTATACTAGGAGTTAAATAAAAATAATATTATATAATATAATTATTCAATATTATGTATTAAACATATATGTTTATTAAATGGTAAATAAATTGAGCGACTAAAAATCATTCGGATTATTCATTAAAATATTAACGTCATTCACGATCATTTGAAAAAAACGATCGACGATTCATTTATTAACTAAATGTGAACGTGTGAGCTTGCGTTCATGTACCATAAACACTGCATTCAATTAATATAGTATACTGATAATCATAAAAATTAATTATTAAAAGTTTTATTTAGGATTGTATAATAATGTAAATTGTAATATTATAACATTATCGCAAGTATTTTCATATATGCATGTCGTGGATAAAAATGTAATAATTTTTTATCGGAGTTCGATAAGAATACATAACTATAGTATAGTTATAGCAATTATAATATAGATGAAAAAAAATTTAATTTTATAAAAGTCGATTCGAAGATTTGCGTCAAATATATACTATATACTGTATAGGCGTATAGGGTTTTCAGAGTGTAGTTGTTCTCAGATATATGCGAAACTGATTATACTATTATACGGATTACAGAGTGATCCGTTAAACGACCATTATCTGATTAATTATTTCAGATAAATTAATGTTGTTGGAAAATTTTTACATTTTATATAGTATATTAAATGATTAAAAATCTGCAATAGTTTTTTTTTTATTATTATTCAATTGTTTTTATTATTTACTCTTATAAGCAATCGTGACTATAATATTGGTTGTCAACTAAATTTTAAATATATAATATTTATATTTCAAATTATGGAATTTTTTCGTTAAAAAAATAAAAATAAATTTTTTTAGTGATTTGAAACAATGTGAAAAAAATATTCGAAAATATTAAAAATGTATGCAATAATTAGTGTCATTACGACTTTAAAAGGATCATCCGGTAGAGTCAAGCAGACAACAGTTAATAGCACATTCAAATTTAAGTTGTATAAAAACATTACGTCAAAAAGTCGGAACAATTTATAATAATATTTTTGTTTTTAAAAAAGCATTAGTCTGTCAACAATCTGAACAATCAATGAGTAATAAATTATTAAGCTAATTTATTACCAACTAGGTACCTACCAAGTGTTAGGTATCTAAACATTTTACAACATATTAAATTCTATTATCAATGGGTGGTTCACGGCCTTGACATATATCATATACAGGGTGATTTTTTAA